TCCCCAGGTGCCCCTCCCCCGCCAGCACCGGGGTGGCCGTCAGCTGCAGGGCTGGTCCCTCCGGCCAACGTCACAGCAGACGATGACGGGACGGGCGTCGTGGATACCAGGCACAGGGGCCTCCTCCCCACCCAGGTCGCGCTGGTCTGTCCCAGGGCCACGTGTCCCCGGGCAGGAGGAATGTGGGTGTCACACGGCTCCCGCTTCATGGAGCACAGCGTCGGCCCTCCCGTGGGGCATCCGACAGGGAAGCTGCGCCCCAGGGCCCGTCTCCTCAGCCTCCCGCGTCTCCCTGGTCGGCGTCCGACAGGGAAGCTGCGCCCCAGGGCCCGTCTCCTCAGCCTCCCGCGTCTCCCTGGTCGGCGTGTCTCCCTGGTCGGCGCCTCTCGCAGGCCCAGCAAACCGCAGCCTGGGTGGCAGGAGGCTGCGGGGCGGGGAGGGGACCCCCACAAGTCTCAGCCTCCGTGGCACGCGCGGGCATCAGCAGCCTGCCCGAGAGGGAGGGGGTCCCGGCCAGAAGGAGACCCCTGACCCCTCCTGCACCCGCCCCGCCATCCATCCCGCCCCTCCTCCCAACCTGCTAACGCGGGGACCCCGGTTCCCACGCCAGCTGCCAGGGGCGCAGGGCAGGCCAGGCGGGCAGCACCTCCCCCGCCTCTAGCTCCTCTGCACGCCACGGCCTCTGCCCACGCAGGGATGGTGCCGGAAGGTTCCATTAGCAGCCCCACGCAGGAGACGACAGGCCGTGGTGGAGGGAGCGGTCCTGAGGCCTCAGAGGCCCATGAGGGCGGGAGGGCGAGGTCACCGGGGCCCGCCCTGCGCTGAGCCCACGGGTGGCCGCCACGGCGGGCGCGCAGGGCTGCAGGAAGCCTCCACGCCGCTCTGCGGCCGAGGCCGGGACAGCGGGCACGTTCTGGGGACGGAGGGTGGGGACAGTCACACAGCACTGCGCACGCACTTGATGCCGCTGGACCACACACTCCAAAATGCTTAAAGTGGAAACCTCTATGCTACATATAATTTAGCACAAATAAAAAGAATAGGCGAACCCGGAGTGTTTTATATTATATATAGAAAAGAAAAAAAAATGGGCAAAAACACCTGCCTGTGGCGCCCACGGGCTGGTAGTTTGAGGACTCCTGATCTAAAGAGTTGCAGGTTGATGAGAAAGAATGACTCTTGGTGGAGGGTTTCTGCAGAGCTTTTGGTTTTATTAGCATGTGTGTTTTTGTTGAGGGGAGGCCAAGTTGTTCTTTCCTTTTGAGTTACACAATAGCCTATTTTGCAAAAATCTGGCCTGACCTCGTGGTCACTGATGACCTCGAGCATCAGAGAATCCAACTAGTGGCCGGGCGCGGTGGCTCACGCCTGTAATCCCAGACTCTGGGAGGCGAGGCGGCGGATTGCTCAAAGTCAGGAGTTGGAGACCAGCCTGAGTAAGGCGAGACCCCGTCTCTACTAAAAATAGAAATAAATTAATTGGCCAACTAATATATATAGAAAAATTAGCCGGGCATGGTGGCGCATGCCGTAGTCCCAGCTACTCGGGAGGCTGAGGCAGGAGGATTGCTTGAGCCCAGGAGTTTGAGGTGGTTGTGAGCGAGGCTGACGCACAGCACTCTGGCCCGGGTGACAGAGTGAGACTGTGTCTCAAAAAAAAAAAAGAGAACCCAACTGGTAATCATGCCCATCTCAGATGGTGAGAAACCAGCACTGGCATTTTTACTTCATACCTTTTAAAATCATTGCCCTTTTTTTTCCCTCTGACGCTCAAGCTGAGCGCTTGTGTTGGCTTCTCCTCTGCGTGTTCTCGGTGCCAGCTGCCGAGCCAGCATTGCCAGCTCTCCGTCAACAAACAAGGCGTGGACTTGCGGGAGGGTGGCCTCCTGCTGGGCGCAGCGTGGCGGAAATGCTGGGGACGTCTCGGCACTCGGGCCTCATCGAGCC